ATACAGTGCTAGATTCTCACCTCGAGCGGATGCCCGGGCGAATTAAGGGTGAAAATGCTAATTATTTATAGTGTAAATTATGACAAAAAACTAAACATGAAAAGAAAAATATTTCGAAAAAGTGTTAGAAATGCATTATTCACATTTGTTTTGTAATACATGTTAAATTTTAAAATTTATAAGATTAGGGCCAGTTGGGACGATGACACTAATACCTATAGGCTCAGAAAATACACCCAGCAGTTATTATTTCAATTTCATTGATAAGAAGACAGTGATCTAACATGCGCTCAACCACTAAGCACCTGCAATCCAGGATCAATCAATCCATGATTAGGACTCTCTGATTGTGCACAAATCCATCTGCTTTATTCTATTTAACCCGTGATCCAAAAAGACTTGATCTCCCAAAGATAATCCAGAAGCACTTTGAGATTAGTGGCCTTATTTGGCTCTCCCGTTCTCCCGAGAGCACAGCACGACTGCTACTTACGTAATGAAAAAGTCCCACAAAAATATAATACATGCCAAAACAAAAAAAAAAAATTTAAAATTACCGGGTGCATGACAGTATTTATTTCCAAAAATATATTGCAATATTAAACTCAGTGGTAAATGTAGTGAATTGCCATTATGTTATTCAGCTTTGGAAGTACATTGCAACAATGTCATACAATTGAAAAACATAAATGTGTGTTGGAGTTTTATTGTGATTCGAATTTGTGAATGGAGCGGTGATGTTGTGCTGTGATTCAAATTTGAGTTTCTTGGTATAATGACTCCAGTATATAAACAAAGTAGAGGAAATAAATTTATAAAATTTGATGATATAAATGATGAGCTCTCTAAAGCAGATTTACGGATGGAAGAAATAAATTATTGATGACATTTTTGCTTTCAATCTGATTATTAGAAAATTCAATTTGAGAAAATAATAATTGATCCATCAAATCGAATTACTTTACGGTAGTTTTAAGATTATGCATAAAATTTTTGGATTCCATTTTCGTCGTAATGATTCTGTAGTTTAGGCAGAAAAATATTTTTTGTGGAGCTGCCGCGTGGATTTGGTGGCAGCTGCTTTAAAAAAGTGTAAACAGATAGATTGGTCAATCAAATTAAATTGCTTGTAGTTTTAAGACTATGCCTAAAATTTTGGATTCATTTTCCTTATTAAGCCAAAACTACATTGTATTATTTCTGTAGTTAGGCTGGAAAATATCTTTTGTGCAGCTACCACATGGCATTTATTGCAGTTGCTTTCAATAAATGTAAATAGATTAGCTTTGGCGCCCAAATAAAATCATACAATTTTTAAGTATTTGAATTGATTCATTGTAAAATTTGAAAACTACTCCACTTTTTAGAATTTCAAAATTTTATTGCCGAATTCTCCACAAGAAACGCACATTCTATGTCATTACAATCTTAAAAATCATCTTGTACATTTTTAGAGACATTGATTTGTAACGTGAGACTTATTTAAATCATGATACTTTTTGGCCCGTACAACGCACGAGTTACATCTTGCACATGTATACATTGAAGAATATTTCAAACAAGCAATGAGAGAAAATAAGCGACACTGTAAAAGAAACATATTCGTTATGAATGTTTGCAAAGTCAAACTGACCAAACTATTCTTTTCAATGGGTAAAAAATGAAAAAATCAAATAAAAGAAAAGAAAACAACAGTCCTTAATGATAGACATTTTATTATAACTCCAACACGTGCCTTATTCACCATTTTGATTTATTATGGGATCTTCAAGCAATGCTTTTGATACAACATTCAGAGTGATGTGGATGTCGCTCGATTTCTTTTATACAGTGGGTGATGAGGTGGTCTCGGACCAACCCTCTTTTTTTGGTGAAAGTAGTATTAGTGTTTCTATGTTGAATCAACAAGTGAGCCTAATGGATCATATAAAAGTTATTATGCTAGGGGTGTTTACATATTTCGCACGTAATATGCACAATTATTATACGCATTCCACATGATTTACTATCTTATTTCAGTGAATTACACATGTTTGAAAATTATTACAAACCTAACTTTTTAACCATAAAGAAGGCTAATGAATGGATTCTAATGGTTAAGAATTTCATATTGATGGATGATTTGAAGCTGGGCAAGATTTCGTCTTTCTTGTTACCCTGACGAATTAAGAGATGATTTTAGTGGTCTAGAGGTTTGTACCAACGAAAATAATTTCTTGCTCCATGTCTTGTTACGGTTACGGTTGTGGTTTGGGTAGGCTATGTTTCATCAGTTACATGGATATTTTTTCTCATGTTTGTTGCTGCTTTTTTTTTTGGAATTTTCCATACTTAAATTATAGATACTTGTTGATAATTGAAGTTCTTAACAAATAAAGAATCCTACAAGTAAAAGGCATTATATGATGAGTTTTTTTGTGACTGTTGGGAAACCATTAAATGCATTTCATAAGATGTCTTAAAGATCAGGAATACAAAATATTTTGGTCACTAAAATATAATGAGATTTATGAGTGCCATAAATTGAATGATTAGCAATATGATATTTTTTTGGTGCCAGGAATATGAAAGATAACGTGTAAGACACAGACATTATAAAAGAGCACTATAAGATTAATGGGTCCTCTGCATACAAGTCATCATCAAATCTGAAAGTCTTGCAATGCGCGAAAGTAACACATGAAGCTAAATTCCAAGGTTGAGTTCAAGTTCGTGAGGGCAAGTTTCGTGCAGCCTTTACTTATGATTTTAGGGTAAGAGCAAAATATTGTTCTTGTTATTCCCTTTCGAGATCTTTTCGCACAGAATCAAATATTAGATCAGGCTCAGTCATCATGTTTTCTTATCAATCTTTTCGTTAAGCTGAACACATCATAAATGTATATGAGTAATGGTATGCATCTCACTAATTTGATGATTGTAATTTGTAAGGATCAAATTGTCTCAAAGAAATTTGAGGAGTTAGAGTTGAGTCTTTAACCTTGCTATATCTTTATCATCAACTTGTTCACTCTCTCATCCTTTCACTTCAAAATGCCTCTTTGAATTGAGAAGAAACATAAAGGAAAACTTAAATTATTTGTTTCTTATTACTTTAGGTTTTGAAGTTTCTGCTTTAATGTGATAGATTACATATGGTATTTAGTGGTAAAAGTTATTATGTGATTGACGTAGGAGAAAACATAATTCAACGGACAACAACTATCCCCTTTCTAACACTTGAATATATTTTTTTGAAGGTTGAAACAAAATACTTTCTCCATCCCAATTTAAGTGTCATTTTAAAATTTACGCACCCTGTAAGGAGGTATTAATTGAGGTAGCTTAATTACATTATTATCCTCGACTAATTCTAATACAACTAGTGTTGTAACTTCTTCATCTACCCCATTCATTAGCCCCCTCAGCCTCTTCACACCTCAGCTGCCGTTAGTTCCGTATTAAACTCATCTCGCTCAGAAACCTTCCTTTTTCCTCTCCCCATCTCCTCAAAAATTCTCTCCTTAAGTTTCTCTTCCCAAGTTTCCTAAATTGATGAACACCTGCAATTAACAAAATCCCCATCGGATAATGCACATCACTCTTATCTCCTTGTAATTTCTCGAAAATCTCTAAATCAACTTGGCCCACAAGCACCAAATTGAGCCAATTCAAATTTTGTATCAACAATTATGGCTATAAACAAACAAAACCAATTTTATTTGAAGTTTTTTCGTAGTCACGCATCTAGGTAAATCAACAGGATATCATGCGTGAGTCTAGTTTAACCGTTGCAGAAATTTGTGCTTTACAAATAAATGCAATTTATGACCTTTTCTATAAAGGGTAAATTTGGAAAGTTTTGGCAAGCTTTGCATTGAATGACACTTATTCAAAGCATTCGCTTTTTCCTACAATGAAACTTGAAACATAATGGAGGGAGTAGCGAAAACTACATCAAATGCCTTAGTCTATTACCTAATACTTCACTTTCAATACCTAATTCTGATTGGATCCAATTTTTATCTTAGAGTAAAAGTATGATGCAGAATTTCTTACAATAGTTCAACAATTATGATTTTAGCTCCCCTGATAACTTATACTAGGTGTTAGATTCGTCCGATGGACGTGGAAGGCATACACATTTAGACATTTTTATATAAATTTTGTATTTTTATAAAATATGTAATGATTTCAGTTTTAAACATGATTACCTCTGGGTTTACAGGAATTTGTTTTTTTTAAATGACATTTTAAATTCACTGGTGACAAGGTTTATACAGATCTCTCTAAAATTTGTTAGGATTTGTTACTCTTTTCAATCAATCTCTGTGTAAAGATTTGGTTCATGAAAATAAGGATTCGGTTTTTATTATTTTAATTTTTTAAAAATTATTTTAGTTGCTTTTTTTTGTTTTATTTTGTTTTGTGCATTTTTAAGTCTAAGAAATTAAGAAAATGCCACATAGGATTAAATCGCATGTGGCATGTGCTCCATGCCTTTAGTTTTCTCTCTCTGGTTTTTGCCTTAGTATAGTATATAGATTGCTTCACTAAATTAAAAGGGCTTACAAGCTTAAAAAACCCTCTCTCTCTCTCTCTCTCATAGCCCTAGTGTACCCCTTGTCGGAATCAGCTTCTAATACGGCCGCGGCCTCCTTCATGGTAGGCGATCGGAATGTGGATGTCCCCACTGGACCTCCTCAATCTTTTGCATCACTTTTTCATAACCCATTGGAGTCAAAATTCGTGGGTAACCATCGATATAAGAAAGTAAAGTTCATCAATGGGGGACCAGTACTTGAATTGGAAGATGATGAATAGGAAAATCTAATAGCACCACATCGTATAAGTCTTGTAGGAAAGTTTTCTTACGGCTGGCCTAAACATGAGGAGGTGCGCGCGGAGTTGCGAAAAATAGGGTTTCATGGCGGCTTTGAAATTGGTCTTATGAACCCTAGGCATGTTCTCATTCGGTTGGAGCGCGAAGATGATTATTAGAGATGTTGGATTCGTTCATCATGGGCTATTCAAGGTTTCCAAATGAGGATCCTCAAGTGGCAGCCCGGTTTAAGTTTGAGGAGGATCCTCCAGTGGTTCCTATTTGGGTATCACAACAAGAATTTCCAATTGAATTCTTAACTCCGAAGATTCTTTTCACAGTTGCCACAGCGATTGGGGAACCTCTCCAAGTAGATACTCCGACGTTGAATTTGACATGGCCATCGGTTGCTCAACTCTGCGTTGAAGTAGACTTGACAAAAGAACTGTCGAAGTCCATCAAAATTTGGAAACAAGGAAAGAAACACGAAGAATTGTTCACCTATGAGTACGTGCCATCTTTTTGTTCCAAATCCAAAAAGATCGGTCAGAAGGAGGTAGAATGTGGCAAGGGCAAAACTTTTCCGCCTGCGCAAGCTGTGAAAAACCCTAGTCAAGAAAAACAGCTGCAGAAGGATGTGAAGGGTAAAGGCATTCTGATTAAGAAGTCTTCCAAGTGGAATTCAAAGCCATCTACTACTGTGGCAACCGTAGAGCCAAAAAGTGTGCAAATTGAAGGGGATCTGCACTCGTCAGAGTTAACGGTTGCGGAGAAAACTCGAATTCTGGTTGATGTGATAAATGATTCTAGCCCTTCGACTGATGTGCCTCAGAAAATTGATGAACTGGTGCAGGAAGTGCAAAACGAGTGTAATGTTCAGGAGGGTAAAGTACGACATTGAGAAAAAAACATCACCCTCTCCACAGAAGCAATTACAACAGCATGTAGAATCATGTGATAACAATAAATTTTTACCCCTGGCTGAAATTGTAACGGTTGAAGAAGTAAATGATACTGAGGATGAAAGTGAAGAGTCTAAGCAGCCTGATGAGGAAGCCACTAATGCTGTAAACGAACTGTCTGCCAAGGAGAATCTGTTGGTAAGAAGTCCGATCCAATGCTCTGATCGAGTCGTCCATTATGCGTCTGATGAAGAACCTGGTACTAAAACAGGTGGTTTATTTGAAGAGGAGGAAGTAGAAGGAGGGCGCTGGTCGGAAGGGGAGATGGAAAACCCACAGCTGGAAGAGTTAAGCCAAGGCTTTGTTACTGTGAAGAGGAAAAGAGGTAGAAAAACCAAGGAGGAAAGATTACAAATGATGGAGGGTCTTGTACTCCGTCGTTCAGCTCGTTTGCAATAAAGGTCCAGTGTTACTTACAATAAAATTGTTTTCCAATGATTAAGCAATTAATATTGAATGTTAGGGGTGCGAAAAATAAAGCGGCACAGCTGCGATTGAGGTCTTTGATTCAAACGCATTCTGTGTCTTCTCTGATTATTCTCATCTTCTTCCAGCAAAATATGGGTCCTCTGTAAGGATGGCTTTGTTTTATCTTTATTGGCGGATAAGGGACAGGTTCTGCATTTTGAAGCTAAGCATCCGCTTGTTGATGGTTCCTTGTATGTTTTTACGGTATATGCAAAATTAAGTAGAAGAGAAAGGCAGCAATTGGGGGCAGATTTGATGGCCTTTAATGATGATCGTGCTACAAGAAAGTGGATGGTTGGTAGTGATTTTAATGCCATTAGATGTCTCGATGAATATTCTGGCACAACAATCGAAAATCGGGGCACAATGGATGACTTCAATGGTTGTATTAGTGAGTGTAATCTTTCTGAAATTCAGGCTGTTGGGGAAGAATTCACCTGTGGAGGATCACGACCGAGTGGCTGGGTTTATAAGAAACTTGATCACATCTTGTTCTCAGCGGAATGGCTTGATTATTTTTCAATCTCTTTAATTCAAAATTTGCATCAAACTCCATCCCATCACTCCCCAATGGCTGCATACTTTTGGGGTGGCATCAGAGTATAAGCTGAAGCCATTCCGTTTTCAGAATATGTGGTTCAAAAGGCAGAATTTTATGTCATTTGTAACAGACTCTTGGAATCAGCCGGTTGTGGGTTATGGTATGCATGCTTTCTCTATGAAGCTACGAAGGCTGAAATTGGCATTGAAGGAATGGAATAAAAGTTCTTTTGGGAATGTCTTTGACTATCCTAAAGAAGCTGAAGAGGCGGTTAGTTCCCTGGGAACTCAATATGATCCTTCTAAAAGCGTTGATGACAGAATCAAGCTTCAGGAAGCAAAAGCTCATTTCATTTTAAAGCTTAAAGAGCGGGATGATTTTTGGCGACAAAAAATGAAATTGAAGTGGCTTAGAGAGGGTGATGCTAATACAAGTTACTTCCATGCTTCTATAGCCGAGAGGAGATCAAGAATTGCGATCGACAAAATTCAATCTGAGAATGGCGTATGGTTGGATAAGAGGGATGATATTAAAGTGGAGGCAATGAATTTTTTTTCAGAATCTTCTTGAATGTGAAGAAGTTGAGGGAAGCCATCACGTGCAAGGGGTTTTCATTCAACACATTCCTTCACTACTCACGGAAGAAGATTGTTCGGCTTTGTTGCTCCCTATGGAGTTAGATGAAGTTAGGGCAGCCGTTTATGGATTGGATCCCGATAGTGCTCCAGGGCCTGATGGATTCGGTGGGAGTTCTATCGACGTTGCTGGAATGTAAATTCAATGGACTTGTTTGCCGCATGCAGGGAATACATAGCTGGGGTTCCTTTGCCACGAGCGGTGGGAAGTACTTTGATCACATTGATTCCAAAGAGAAATGCAATTTCAACATTTGCAGATCTTAGAAGTATAAGTCTATCTAACTTTCTGAACAAGGTCTTTACCAAGATCTTAACAGAACGGATGAAGAAATGCTTGAGTAAATTGGTATCAGAGGAGCAATCGGCTTTTCTCTCGGGTCCGGATATAATTGACAATGTCTTGCTTGGTCAGGATTTATGTCAATTTTTCAAGCATAAGGTGGAAGGTGACAATGTGATCATTAAAGTGGACATAATGAAGGCGTTTGATAGAGTTACATGGAGCTTTTTAAGGGCTGTTTTGTTGGCTTTTGGGTTTCCTCCAATATTTGTGGAATTGATTGTGAATCACTTGAAGGAAGCTGGTTTTCTGTGTTGATTAATGGCTCTCTAGCTAGGTTCTTTCAGTCCTCTAGAGGCCTTAAACAAGGCGATCCAATGTCCTCTTACTTATTCATTCTAGTTTCAGAGGTGTTATCAAGAATGCTGAATTTTTTAGTACATGAAGGATTGCGCGCTTTGGAACGGCGGTTGGTTGTTGTCCGCCATCTCATTTAACTCTTGCAGATGATCTCATTGTTTTTACAAGGGGTCTTAAAAGGTCTTTGCGAGTTCTTAATCATTTTATTGGGGACTATGAAGCGGCAACGGGGCAGAGAATCGATAGGGATAAAAGCTTCTTCATGGTGTCATCAAAATGCAAGGCTTAGTGAGTTGAAATTATAAACAATGCTCGTGGTATGGATAAAGGTTCCTTTCCATTTGTTTACTTGGGGTATAGATTGTTTGAAGGTCCAAAGAAAGGTTGTTACTTTCAGCATTTGTTGGATTCTTTTGAGAAGAAGCTTTCAAGTTGGAAAAACAAGTTCTTGTTGCCAGGCGGAAGGCTACTATTAATTAAGCATGTTTTGGCAGCAATCCCAATTCATACAATCGCGGCAATTCCACCACCTAAAAGCATCATATTGGAGTTAGAAGCAAAGTGCCAAAAGTTCTTATGGGGAAACTCAAACGAGGAAAAACGGTGGCATTGGAGGGCTTGGGAGAAAACATCTGATGTAAGGCAACTGCTCATTCAAAAGTATTTGTGAGAAAGAGAAATAGCTCATTTTGGTTCTCTAATTGGTCGCGCTTTGGGGTCTTATGTGATATCCATAATCAAGAAGAGAAGGGAATATAATTTCTCCCATATTTTTTGAGAAGCTAATTCAGTTGTGGACGGATTGTCTAAAGTTTCTTCTTCTTGTGTAAATGTTATTTTCAATAACTTAGCAGAGTTGCCGATGAAGGAAAAAGGTCTTTTAATCCTTGATCAAAGGTCTTTTCCTTATCTTTGAATTAAGTAGTCTTATCTACAAGTTATCTGTAATAGTATAGTCTTTGCATCTTTTTGTCTTTTTTTTGTATAAGGGTAAGGGCTATACACTGCCCTTTTCCTGTGAGAGTTAATGGAGTATGAGAGGGAAGATGCTAAGGAACTAGGTGGTATTTATGTCCATCCCTTGGGTATACCCCATGGGTGCACTGATTGATGCAAGGAATAGCTCTTGGGTGGACCCCTTTAGTATTTTCTGTGTCACATGGGACCTGAATACCTCTCCATCCTTTTTTTTTTTGCTAAAAAAAAAACAAAAAGGCATGCTAGCTTTACTATGTTGGAATGAAGCTAGCAAGCAGGGAACTAAAGTTGAAATATTTTCAGGAAGACATGTGAAGATATTCAAAATAATGTGTACATGGATCGGATAGATAATTGTTTTAATCCATTAGATAAGGACAAGGGAAAAACTATGTGTTTTTTTACTGTGGATATGTTTAGCTAAACTTCAAAAAGTTGATTGAATTTAGTTCGCCTTCAATCATGACAAGTAGCTTAATGTAGTTTCACAAATTAAATTTAATACTTATTTGCAAATTAACTTTTATTTTAAAATGAAGCACAAAGCACAACATCATGTCTCATTACACGGTTTAAACAGTTGTTACAGTTACAGATGCTTTTATGCTCTTTGAATATGCAACACCATTTAGAATTTATTGATCTTTGCAGGGATAAAAACCCAGCTTCATCAAGTGTACAAGCCCACAATTCTTCTTTGCATGTCTAGTGTTGTCAGGTATTGTTTTCAAATGCAATTCTTGTTCACCAAGCCTCAATCAATTGTGATAAGATTTATATGATGCTTTTTGGAATTTGCATACTCTATTTTCTTTGGACCAGTCATAAGGTTCCGAGAGTAAGAGAAGCAATTGCTATGTTTAGATAAAATGCACTATTGTCCTAACATATAAATCTCAATGTTAATGTAGATATTGGACGAAGTTAAAGACTTGTGACGCCTAATGCTCCACATTAACAAAACATGTGTTTCTCCTAAAGGTACACTTCACATTCAAATATATATTGAAACAAGATAGTAAATTTTCTAATATAATGCTAGATGTGCTTCAAGGGCCTTAATGTCAATAATGATGACGGAGTAAAGTTTTGTAACTTCCTCTTGCCTGGTTATTTTTGCTAACATATTGCAGGTGTATCTCTTTCCACTCGAACTAATACAAATGCAATTAAAATTTTGTAACTCTCCCGGCTGACATTAAAGAGGTTGATCTTCTTATATATTTCTTTTTAGGTGAACTAGGGCCATACATGACTGACATTCCCTCGATTTTATTAATATAAATTAAAAAATTGCACAAGTCAGTGCTTAAGATATACCCAAACGAAAAGGAAACTGTCTTACAAAAGTTGTTCTAACAACTCCTAACAGTTCCTATATGCAAATATATCTAAAAACTGTCTTACAAATATAGTCTAATATCCCAAGACAATTTTATGCTCTAGTCTATCTCCTAGGAGTATGTCTTACAAATATTCCACGGAAATCCCTTGACATCTCCATCTAGGTGAAATATAAAGTGAAATTAACTATCTAATTCATACATACGGAAAGGAACACGTGTCTAGGAACCATTTTCCTAGCAATGAAGGTGGCAGCTGCACTGTCGTATCATACTTTATAGATAATCCTTTCGATGATGTCTTAGCAAGTTCATCTACCAAGCTATTTACTTCTCTAGAGACATGAATTATTTTTGAGTTGGAGAGAATTGACATCCGTTGAATGTCCTTGAAATTGGTGTGATGCTTCCATGAAAAGCTCATATGGTGATTGAGGATGTTGACAATAGCCTGATTATCAGTTTGAACTACAATCCGAGATATTCTTTCTTCCAAACAATATCAAAGACCATTGAGGATTCCAGCTATTTCTGCCTCTAAGCTTGTTGCTATGCCCATGTTGTGACATTCTGCTCTGCTAAAATGATCTTTATTACCTCTGATTACATATTCCCATCCCGCTGCTCCCGGTTGGCGTAGGGTTGATCCATCTGTGTTGAGCGTTGTTTCTCACGGGTCTGGTGGTTGACATCTAAGTGATAATGTTGCTTTTGGTGATAACAACATCACTTTGTAGAAATTCTCTCTCTAAAAACCTTTCTCTCTCGCCACTCTCTAAAAAGACTCCTTCGGCGAAATTTTTCTACTCCCCCAACCACCATTAACGGTGGTCTGGGAGTCTTCTTTTCTCCAATTTTTTTTTCTCTTTTTTTTGCCTTTTTTTCAAAATAGGGCTGGCCTTTTCCATCCTCTACTGTAACTGATCACCAAAGACCCCCGCTTGTTTTGATAGCGCAGATCTACAGATCTAAATCTGGTGATCAGATCGACAGCAACCGCGGTGACATGATTGTCACTGATGATTTAGATGAACGGCCTCCACTTGTTGTTGCAGAACCAGTCACAACAAGACGGATCCACGGCGACGTTGCCAGATCTGTTGAGATCTGCATATCCTTTCTGATCAGAAATCCAGCCGCCGCCACTATCTTCTGCTCTCTTTAGGCAGCCACCAAGCTCCGACACTAGAAGCGGCCATTTGTCAAAAAGCCCATTGACGCTCCAAATCAGCCGGCCATAGAAGCTCTGATCAGCCGAGTGACCCGCCATCTCAATCCATCACGAAAATGCAGATCGTGCTTTTCATCTCTGGCCACAAGTCCGGTTAGCTTCTCAGAGCCGGTTATTTGGATCCATCGGCTTTAAAAATCGGTTCACCTATTGTATGGTTCAAAAAATCGGAATCCCTTGGAAACTGGTCTCTCTAGTCAACAAATAAACTGTATTGGGTTATAGTTTAGTTAGGTGACAACTTGGAGGCAGCAACCAAATTTTTTGTGTATCAGTCACTGTTCGGGATTCTCAAATATGCCAACCAAATGTGGAAGTTCATGAACGGTGATGCACAAGATGTGAATCACGCAATGAGAGGAAATGATTGTTGTCCTCTATCGTTATTACACTGTACTAGTCTATTCCTGATATAGTTTACTGATATTCAAATCACCGTTATTAAATGATGGCTTCTCTTTATACTGAGTAAGTCTTACGCACTGCCTGGGAAATATTTTACTTTATCAATAAATTTCTCAGGTACTAACCTAGTTAGCTAAAATAAAAAAAAAACATCACTTTGTATTGGAAAGCTTGTTCGATGCCTCTTTACTCCATTATATCACGAGCCTTGAGCTTATGTCTGCTCAACATGTTGTGATGAGAATCATGAAACCTGCCATTGTGATTCTCCTAGTGAGGGGAATGAACTAGTCCTTCATTCTAATTTTGGAATGCCAGGTTTACTTTGCAGGCCAATCAAGGAAGAAAGGATGGATCTTGACTACCTATGTGATAGGGAGTTGGTTCAAGAGAGCTATGATTAAGATGATGAGAATATCATTAACTTTGGGGTTCAAACCAAAGGAGATGATGACCTCATGGAAATAAGTGCTGAAGAGTATCAAGAGAGTTTGACTCTAGGTGCTCCATGAAGATCATTGATCAAGCTAGTGAGAAGAGTCATTTAGGTTCTTCAATGGACGGCCTATTTGATCAAAGTGTTCAAGATTGAGTCCATTGCTACACAATTGGGTAGGTTGCAAACTATCTTAATTGTTTCAAGTGTTTTTCCAATCTTTTGGAGTCAATAAAGAGAATTCTACAAGTTTTGGAGTAAATTGGAGTTATCTACAACTTAAGGGGCGCAAGACCAATATTCCTCTTTTGGAAGGGTGTTCAAGACATTTTACTTCAACAATTTGGAGCTGATTTTCGAGATTTAGTTGTTGTTGTAAGTCTAGGAGTTATTTTTGAATTTTATCTAGTTAGATAAGCCATGTGGGCTGAATAAAACTAGAGTCTTTTGATTAGAAGTCTTAGATTCCTTCTAGATATTATCCGACTTGAGGATAAGTCATTTAGATAAGGTTTCCTAGATTTTAGATAGAGTCAAAGAGATCAAATACTCTTCTACTTCTACTCCTTGTGAGATAAGATTAGAGAGTCCTAATTGATCTTCTTCTTTAGGTGCTGGCCGAAATTCTAAGCCTATAAACAGGGGGCTTGGCCGAAATTTCAAAGGACCCTTGAGTGGTCATTTTTGTTGTCTCTTTTGAGAGTTTTTCCTGTGAGGAATTTTTATTAAATGGAGAGTGTCCATTTTTCGTGTCAAGTATGATTTAACCAAGAGGTTTTTTATCTTGTCTTGGATCTTTTTGATCTTGCAGAAACCGTTCTTTTTCAAGTATGCTTCTTGATAGAATTTTTTTAAAAAAAACTTCTTATTTTCATACTACTTCTAGTAGTTCGATTGATGAGCCTTTCTTTTGGCTTGGTGTTCGAATTTCATGATGAGTGTGTTCATGAGTTCCATTGTGGGTTTTGTCCTACTTTTGTTGGATGAGTTGTGCATTGGCATAAGCATTTTGAGATAGTGTATGTGTTGCTTATCTTTTGTTGGTTATGAAGATTACTAATCAATAGTATTCCTTCATAGTTGAGCATTGTTTGCTCCTACCTTTTTTGAGTCTCTTGAATGATGACTGATCGAGTATATTGAATGGTGTCCTTGCTATTCTTAGTGTGGGTTGTTGTTTAATTTGAATCATTTATGGATAATGTGTTTTTTGCTTGGTTTGAGTTAAGAGATCGAATCACTTAGATAAACGATCGTCTTACTGTGAATTTTCCGCACTCTTTTGAGTTTCACGGGATAGACAAATTATCTTCGTACTTTCTTGTTGATGGTTGCATTAACGAAATTTGCTTCGTCTACGACATTGCTATCATGTTGAAAACATGAGATTTTATAACCTTAATTAGAAAATGAAATGAAAACCCGATACCTTCATAGAGCATTTTGTTCCGGTATTTCCATAGCTCCGACAATATAAAATCCGGTAGAACCATGATGATTGTTTTTTTTTTTTTTTGCTGAGGAAAAGCTTCCACTAATTTCCCAAGCTTTCATTATATGTCTCCATCCTGCATTATTCAAAAAAGTGATCCCTAGATTAGCGGAGGTTGGTTTTCGTATATTGTGCTATAATCATCTTATAGAACAATATTCTTAAACGTTTGTGTCTAAGTTACTTTAGCAATAATTGGCAACTTGAAAAGTTGAAATGGTGGTCTTCCTTAATAGGTGCATGTGTTGTTATGGAGTTTAGTTCCCGACAAATTGTTTTTTTAACCTTTAGTACTATTGTATAACAAATAGTAAAATGAGGCAAATTTTTTAAAAAGAGGTCAGGTATTGAAAAGGAATTCATTTACTTTCTATTTCATAAATATTTAAATATGCTTGCTTAAGCTAGAGTGATTCCAGTGAAACATTAAACGGTGGAAGTTAAGTGATAATCTTCAAACGTAAGTATATAAAAGAAAACACAGGGTTTTTTAAAGTTATGCATAAACATTTAGATGGCTTTTGTAATCTTGTTTTTGGATTCATAAACGTTTACCGTATGACAATTGCTACAATAGCCAGAGAAGGATCATTATTTCTATATCCATTCAATATCTCTATGAAACTCCTTGAATATATTTACATGTTTTCTGTCTTGAAAGCACTTTGCAGCCAGTATTGTATTCATTGTATCACTGGGTTTGGTTCCTTGGAAACCCGAAGGTGTTTTTTTTTTTTTTAGGAGAATCCAGAGAGGTACCTTGCGGGATTTTATTACCCAACTTGTAAATATATAGAGATACACAAGGCAGTCCTTAAAAATTACCCAACATGAAAAGAAATTGTCTCACAAAAGTTTTGTAAAATCTCCATGACGATTTCTGAACAGACTATACCTATGAATTGCCTTACATAGATTATACTATTATTCTCCTGACAGTTCGTCTATTATGAACAAATTACCATTAAGAACTAATTTAACAAAGATTTAACAAAATCCCATATCAGTTCTAAACTATAACACTAAGAAAAATTTCCATAAAAAAATAACTTAAATAATCCTATCTAATTCGCAGGTATGGGAAGGATCTCTGGTCAAGCAATAATAAACCACGAATTTTAAGTGACATTACCAAATAAGAATCGTAATCTATATGCAAACCATTTGATCCCATCTTAGCCAGTACATCAACTACAGTAGTGATCTCTTGGAAAACATGATACATTTCGTAGCTCCTTGGCTTGAGAATTTTAAATATCTATGATAGATCATCATGAAATTTCCATGGAAAGACTATACCTCTGAGAATAAGATCAATGATCACTTTACTATATGACTGTAGTTGAACATTGGAGAGATCTTCCATTTCACACACTACAAAAAAAACCTGTCCGTTTCCACGACCCAAGTTCGTGGGTAAACTGCCTACGCGGTCGTGGGTAAGATGAATTTCCCACGAAAATCAGTACGTGGGAGAATCACCTGTGGGAAACAACTCTCTCACGGACGGCCAATGCTCCGTGGGTAAATTCTCCCACGAGAACTGAGGTTTCTAGGTAATTCACCCACAACCATTTTCGTGGGAACTTTGTCGGAGAGTTCTTTTCGAAACAACATAAGATGATCAGAATTACCCACGAATTTTCGTGGGTAAACCTGTGGGAGTAATAATAAATAAGTTATTTTAACAAATTTTTTACCAATAATTTCCCCACGACAACCTCCGTGGGGAAAATTAAATTTGTTTAATTTTAAATTTTTTTCCCACGACTCTTTTCGTGTGGAAAATTGATTTTTTTTAAAATCTTTTTTACCCACCACTGATTTTGTGGGAAAGAAAATACAATTATTTATTTTTAAATGCTTTTACTCATGAACTTCTTCGTGGGGAATATTTTTTGAAATATATTTAAAAATCAGAAAATGCATACTTAATATTTTTTTGATGTCCTTTGTAGCACCATACAATAATCAAAACTAACAATATAAAAATATAAATAACATATTAATCTATTCAAATTCATCATCTTACAGCAGATCCAATTGTTAAACATCAGTTAACCAAAAATAAACCAAACAAGTTGATATAAAGTCACTACTAAACCAAGCAAGTTCATAGAAGCTAAGTAACTTTAAAACAACATTCGCAACGCATCAATTAAGGCTATGGTCATCATCTTCCATTGCACTTCCCTCAGAATCATTATCATTTGAATTTGGATCACTTTCCGTACCTTTTGACCCTTGGAGAGACTCATCATCAGCAGCTTCAAAATCTGGGCATGGTATACCATTTTGGTTGCAAAAAGCATCCATGGTACGCCTCCACTTATTCATGGTACGTTCCATCTTATTCATTTTCAAAGCATATCCATCAAACTTGTCATTCAAAGTTTCATTGTTCTTCTTCTTTTTGTTAACATGCGAATCTGCCACCGTTTTACTAGCCAAAGCATAATAGCAAGGTGTTTGAGATCCAAGACCGTATTGCTTTCTCTTCTTCTCTTCTGCAGCGACTTTGTAATAAAGTGCATCTTCATTGAGTCGCCGGGTAATCCCTTCCTCAGCAGCAGCATTAAGAACGTGTCTCACTGAGCCACA